TAATCCTAACTGCACAAAAAAAAAAAGAAATAAAACCAACAGTGTAGTTTTACTGCTTCAAAAGAAACAATTGGAAGTAAGATGATCAAGAAGTAGAAAACTGGAGTAACCAAAGGGTTAAAGATACAGTCTACACTTGGGAATTCTCTATAATATGCTCCTCCTTCCCTAGCAGCACTGCCAAAAATCATCTGACAGGAAACATAAGATTAAGTTTGTCCTACCTAAGTGAACAAAGAGTGCTCAGAGCAGGCAACCAGTTCACTGCAGAGCGGGAACTTTTCTAATCCTGCTGGAATCTGCAGAGCTGCTCAGAAAATATTACTGAACTTGTTTTCTTTACTTTAACATCTTGCTTCTGGATCATCTCATTCATTTTGGTCACACTGCAGATCTTGCTGCTTCTCTTATAAAGGTTAACTTAAAGCTCCAAACATAATCATGTGGAAAATGGACATTATTGATTCCTATGGTCCATTGTTCCCCTATTCTAAGTCCCTGAAGTTCAAGTTCAATCTGGAATTACATCATGTCTGGTTTCTCCTGGTTACCAGACAGCTTGAGACGTGACCACAGCTACAGAAAAAACAAACAGCCTTCTTCACGCTTCGTCTCCCCTATCGATTCAAACATAAACTTTTTTTCTTTCTCTCAAGTATGCTTCAAGTATGGAGCATGGTTAATTTAGAGATTAAGTTCCAAATTAGATTATCTAATGGCATCTTAATGGATTGCTGACCCATTTCCTGTGGGATGGCAGCATGCAAGTCTGGCTTGAATACAATTAATTTCTTAGGAAGTGTTCTGAAGATGTTTGCCTAGATGGAGAGGAAACATAATGTTCTGCACATCTTTCTGCATTACAGAGTTGGGCAAAACTATTAGAGGCAGCAATTTAAATTGATAAAGACCAGAAATCATTAGGTTTTCTTTCTATGAATACTTCTACAATCAGGATACTTCAGCGTTTTTGTTCTTAAATTGTAACGAATTGATACTTCTATTCCAAAACATATCCCAAGGGGTGAGAGGAGGAGGAAGGGGAGGGGGCAGAGGGTATGAACCATTGCTCTAACAGGTGTCTGTGTCTGCCAAAATCTGCTTGCCACAGCAACGCTGCTGACTGTGTTACTTTAGCTATGTGTTTTTTTAAAACCAAACACACACAAGGTACTGCGCAACTAAGCAATCTGCACCCGTTCTCAATTCCCCTCCTAATTCTTTCCCAAATCAGAGGTTATCCCATTTCATTGCCTTATCAGCATTATCATCATAAACCTGGAGTGGTGTTGGGGGGGAAAAAGTGATGCTTGGAAAGCTAAACATCCCGACAGCTAGAGCTGAGAAGGAAATTCAGCACTCTGAGAACAGAGCTCCCCTCAGCATCTCCAGGAACAAACCAGCTGTTGTACTCTGCTTATGTGTCAAGATAACAGACCCAAAGCAGGAAATGCTAACCTAGTGCATTTGCCTGGGTAGTGTAAATGTAATGTTAAAGTAACAGTTAACCCATAAAACTAACACAGAAAGATTGTTAAAAAAAAAAAAAAAAAGAATATAAATAACAACAGTTGGGAATAAAAATATATTTGGCAATAGCCAAGCCAAAATGTACATTTTGGCAATGAAAATTCACTTACAGTCTGTGAAAGGTTTGCAAATACTCAACATGCTCTAAAAGAGACCCATCATGCCAGCTTTTATGAGTTGTCCCACTGGAATTAATATCAATGGCGTAATGAGTGGCTGAGATTCAGGATCAAGCTCAAGTTATCAGACTTAAACACACACACACATACACTTTTTCTCACTCTCACTCATGTCTTAAGGTTACTTGTTGCATATGTTCTTGCTCTCACATGGTGACTGAGACTGTATTTTCCTAATTGAGCCTTACAGATTTTCACAGCTTCCTCTTACCTTCTGTCTGTAGGAAAACAGTTATTATCACAGTGGTTATTATAACTGTCATTATGAAAAAAGAAGGGTGTGGTTTTTTAATGGATTCTGAGTATCTTCTTCATATGTACAGCAAAAAAATGACCCAAATGATCTTAAAAGTACTCGAGAACTTAATTCTATTGATGTGGTTAAATGTTGTTCAAAGTTCAGCAGACACAATAAAATATTTACCATAAATGCTGTAAGTAAGCAACAACAAAACATAATTTTAGATGGTTAGGGCATCAGGAGCAAAATAAAAATTACTATTTCCAAATATCTTACCAAATAATTGGGTTTTTTCCCCATTTTTTTAGAAATCTCACAGGATGTTGTTTATATAAGTATTTCCTTTAAAGATACTAGAATGTTTAATTCAGCCAAGCAAAGTACTAATGCAGTTTTTAGTTATCATTATTCATTGCAAGTTTTCTGGTTTTGAAGAAGATGGTGCATCAATGACTTAAAGTTTTGGGGGTTTGGTTGTGGATTTTTTTGTCTTGTATTATTCATGTTCTCTTTATTTTGCAAAGTCCAGTCTTTGGCATATCGACTGCTACTCTCTTACACCTGGGACTTTACATGGCAACAGATATGTAACTTTATACAAAAAGAAAAACCCAGAAAACATATTTTGAAATCTATGTATCGTACTTTGAAATCTGTGCATCATATCTGCTATCAGGTATGACAGGCAGCTACTAGTAAGTTAAAGAACACAGAAATAACAGAGGTTTGATCATCATTCACTCTCTGCAAGTTTCCGAGGTGTAGTTCACCAACAATGCTGCATGACAAAGCTTTCAGCTTGGCCACCTCTGATACCTGACTTCTGTAGAGACAGGACAGCTAACATTGAGGCACTGCCAACTTTTTTACCTTCTTGAGGTCAGTATACTTAAAATAACTACAAAAGCCTGCTGTAAAAGGTCAGATTGAGTACCCTCAAAATGAGCAGTGCAGACTTGAGGAAATCACACAATCAAACATTTTTCAAACCATTTTGTGGGGGAAACTTTAACTGTCTGGACTAGAATATATTTCTTTGCCAACGAGCAACAGTTGCTTTTGCAATACCTTCTTTTTTTTTAGTATTAGTTTTAGTGTTAGAAGGGGCTCCTGCTCATTAGCCTGCGCAGGTATCATTTCTCTTCTTAGATCCTCACCTACATGAGATTTGAAGGATGTATTCCAGAGCCCGAATCCTAAAAGCCATCTACTTAAGGAGAACTAACAGTTTGTTTCTTCGTCCTCAAAGGCTGCTGTAAGGTCAAAGCCAAGTAAGTGCAGCCTAGTCCTGTGAAGAGATGCCCATGACAGATTTTGTGCTCAAGCTCATCTGGCAGCACTTTTGTACATTGGTAGGGTCGAAGTGGCAGGCAGCACTCTGTGAGTAACCTGCAAAGCAGTTTTGTCTGTAAAGGTGAGTGGATCATGAAGCGTGCTTGTAGTCATCACCAAAGTTTCCTTGTCATCGCCCAGAAATCTTCTTTCCCCGCTTTCCTTTCTTTTCTTTTCATAATTTATGCCTAAGGGTCTTGTGTGATGGGTACTGAAAAACAGAATTCAGCAAACACTGGGACAGTGCTTCAGCCAGTATAAACTGGCATTGCTTTGAAGGGAGCTCAAGTGATGACTGATTAAAATAATTCAAGGATATTCCTAGACAGGCAGTTGTGATATAATGTCCTAAGTCCTGCCAATGCCCTGAAAAAGCAACACCCTTTGTAGTGAGAGAATAAATCACCCCCTCTGTGCTATACTAGCTCAGTTTGGATTCACTCTTGGCAGTACATTGAAAACTGTGGCAATTACTGCATGATCGGGATTTATAATGTGAATCACAGCCCTTGAGGAGATGAGGTGAATCCATTAGCTAATTTTCCATCGTGCCATTTCATCTATAAGGGAAGAAATGAAAACACCTTGCTTTTCCACCACAATTCCTCCAGATTTTAAATATTATTTCAGCAAAAAATGCAGAAAGGAAAAGTAAAGCAAAAATACTTAAGGAACTTAAACTTCGGATTTGTAAACAGCACCAATTTTCAAATTCCATAATTACCCTCCCAAGTTGACAAAACCCACAAACCTAGCAATCCATAGTCCAATACAGTGCATCAAAAGGCAATTTGTACATAATATATATACACACTCACACTCACACAAACTATTCAGAAGTACATACTTTCATGTGCACACAAATGTCCAAGAAGTATTTAAAATTATTTTGAAGGTGAGCAGCTAATACTTCATCTGACATGCTCCTAACCCACAGATTTTACATGTACAACCCCCATTACGTGTTGAGTGCTGCAGATAATCCTGCACATGAAAGAGGTTAAAAACCGATGTATCACAATTATGCTGATTTGTTTACACACCTATTTAGATGCACACACCTCCACTGTTACCATAATTAATTATATATCAAGAGATGTAAAAGATAATAATGAGTAATTTATTAATGTACCAAAGGTTAATGGGTTTTATTGTGTTCGCTTTTTCCATACAAAAAGAAACTCTTTTGTGTAAATCATTTCTAATTGTTCTGCTATTCAGTGGAGAAATAAGATGGTTTATATCTTACCTTCATGTACATGTTAGTGACCTAAATCTGTACCAGCCAATTAGTCAGAAAAGTCTCTATAAATAGTATGGTTATTCATTGTCCAAAACCACCACCACCTCAGACATATATTATTATACTCATCTGTACTTCTAACAGCACCATTTTCTTTGTGTTAACCACTAAGCCCCCCAAAATATGACCTCTAATTCTGCAAACGACATTTTTAAAGCCTAAGATCAGTATTCCCCTAAATTTACAAACCCTTTGCATTTGACAGCACAGCATTATCATTCCTGGTGCTTATTTAAGGTAGTTTCTAAATTCAGCTTACACTAAAGATAACCTGAACGTGTATGGGAGAAATGTTACAAGCATGTTTTGATCAAATGCTGTCACATATTTCGCTGAAGGCCCACTAAAACAGATACTGTAGCTCAATGCAACTTTTTTAGAGGTGGTGTAGGGGTGGAAATAATTAAAATGTTACCTTTGCCAAGTAATTCCCAATGTATCCTCACTGGCACTGGGGTATAAATGCCTGCCGTTTTGATTCATGGTCCAGTCACAAATTCTCAGCTGTCAATTGAAACCTAGCAGTCAGATATGGATCGAGCAGTACTACAGATTTTAGTATTTAAATGAATACATGCAAACTAGTACTGTACATGGCAAAAGCCTTACTTTCCCAAGAAGTAACTTTAAAAAATAAAAGAAAACAAACAAACAAAGAAAAATAACTTATTCTGAGAAATAAATGCCTATAGATTTGTTTAAGATAATGCTACTTTAATACACTCCTCTATCAATAAAGTATAAAAGAGTAACTGGCGTTTAGCACATAACAATTAGCCATTATTAGATTACAAACTGAGCTGGAATAAAAGGAAATGTTAATATTCAATAGCAAGATACTTTAAGAAAGGAAATTAAAATGCTGTTTTCTCTAAGCAATGTTCTATATGAGTATAAAGTAAAGGTCAAATATAATCAATATCTTGTAGCATGCATTTCGTGAAACATAGAAGACATGCAATTTATAGAAAATTTGCCCAAATTAAACAAACTGTATGTCCTTATCTGGCTATTTAAGAAGGGTAAAGGTATTTTGTAATTGAAGTTTATTTAATCTCATGTTACTGACAATGGTATTACTTAGCAAGAGGTGATAAAATAATCTAATCTTGCTTTGGACTCAGAATAATAGCATTTAAAATACTTTATTGCATTTTAATATAATGAGGAATGTACTAAATCTTAGCTGAAACAAATTCTTCCCAGATCCTCAAATCACCAGTTCTGCCTTCACGGGTTGTTCAAGCAACCCTCTATAGCTCTGTTTATTTAACAGCTGCCCTACAGTGTTAGCAGATTTATTGAAAAGATATACTGCTTATTTTTAAGTTTAAGAAAGTGAACTTATCTGGCTTGTGAAGAAAACATGCATTTTAACCTCTGTATAGTAATGCTGTATATAAATTGCTGTACCATTATATATGATACAGCACTCTGAATTGAAGATAATGTTGCTGAGTTTAATTGCACTCAATGCATTTTAGTTTTCTCTATCGGTATTCACAGTCTTCAGATAGCGTGGGCTACAGCAAACAAACTACAATAAACTATTTTCACAGGAGCACAATTAATTGCAGTCTTTTCCTGAAAAATACAAATGCTGAGGACAAGACAATATTACAAACCTGACCCTGTCTGGCTGTTAGACTCATAAGCTTCCTGCTGTAAAGGTCTGAGAAATGGAAATGTTAGTCTCTGATGTTTTCATAGGGATTGTTTCTTGTTTGTTATCTAAAGAACTCCAAGGGACCTTCTAAAGGCCATTAAAAGCATGACTAAACCACATGAAATTAACCAGAAAAGGAAACATGCAGTCAAAAAGTTTGCTAGAGGTAACTGTGAATAATACATTAAATATGTTTAAAGAAAGGGGTAAGTAAATATTTGGTTTAGTCACTATACAAAACAGTATTGTAAACCTGATTTTAATATTGAAGACAGTAAAATATGTCAGCTCAGTTACTCAATGTACAGTAGATGTACTTCTGCTAGAATCCTTAAGAATGTCATCTTCATTATAGATGCATATTTTAAAGCTTTATAACTCAGCTATAAAAACTCATTTCCAGCTGAAACACAAGACTGAAAGGTTAAACCCCCCTTCTTTTCTTCTTTCACAAAATATAAAATCTATGATTAAAAGCCCTTTGGCTGATTAGAACCATAAAAAATACTAAAATCACAAACTTAGTATTACCAAAATGATTTTATGCAGTTAGGTTTAGGTCAAAAATCTGGCAAGCACTTAGCTTGCTATAGAACCTGATTGCATTTGCCATTTGGGGAAAACAGTAATGGATTGATACGTTACATTTTAGTAAATCAGCTTCTGCACTAAATCATTATATTCTTCCCACAGCCTGTATGAAAACTTTCCACATATACGGTTAATGGGTTAAAATTATCATTAAAAAAGGTCCAAAAAGAGCTTTTCAAACCTATTTCATAAATGTTAGTAATGACATACTTCATACTATATACAGTCATACATACCTCAATACATATACCTCTAAACACTGTAATGGTAATAATAGTACATGTGGATTTTATATACATGTTGTAGACACATACACACACATGTATATGAAGAATCGTGCTACACCAGACTTATAATTAAAGTAAACTGCAGTGATATTCACTGCACCAACAGTACCATACTTGTGGTACTGACACCACCTTGAAGAACTGCAGGTCTGTATGACAACGGGTTCTGTGAAGAACCCAGGACTGCCTCAGCTGTGCTGAAAACCACCTTCCCAATGTTAAAAACTATTTCTCCACACTCCTGAGCAGGCTCACTAAGCTGCCATGTTCTCTTTAGAAACTAACCTGGCAGGAAAATGTTTTTTTCCTCTCTCACATAAAATACCCTCTCCCAAATCACTCCTGCTTAGAGACTAGGATGTCTAAGATTTAGAAATATACTTTTGAAAGTATGTAGAAATATCACTTTCAAAGTCTGCATCTGCATCCCTCATGTGCACTGAGTCCTTTCTGAGTAAAAAGACTGGAGAAGTTTAAACGAGTTCCACAAGCCCTGGTTCTGTTTGATGGAAGAAGATGTCTGTTCACAGCACCAGCAGGAACACTGCCCTTGGAGGATATCCAGACAGCCCAGCAGGGAAAGCCTTGGGGCACAGACCTGACATGAATACCAAGATTTGGAAGGATGTGGGGCACTTTTAGTACAGTGTTTTGAGTGCTATATGTTGTCTGGTGTCAGGCTGAAACCTTTCTGGCTAGTTACAGTCCTCAGAGTAACTTAAGTGACCTCTAAAATCGTGCCACAGTGTTAGCTGGAGAGGAGAAGGCACACTCACTCTCACCCACCGTAAGCTACCTCAAAGAGTTTCTCCGCAGCACATGGGAGAGGCAGGAAATTTCTTGAAGGCTACTTGAGAAAGCTTAAATTCCTCAGTTGAGGGACTTAAGAAATAGTCCTCATGAGACATTTAATAAATGCTGAAAAACATCACTAACCCTCTCAAAAATATGCTACGAATGCAAAATAAATGACCTGATTTGGCATGTGACATGGTGAAAGGCCTTTCCTAGAAGCCTGCTGGACAGGCCTGCTCCTCAGTCCCATGGCTTTGTCGTTTTCAGCAAGGCAAGTCACGTGAACCTCACTTCAATAACACCTTCCATCCACGAAACGTTATCAATGATTTTTTTATTTATCTCTCACCTAACCACCTAACCACCATGTTCTTTCAAAAAGAACATGGGTCTGTGTTCCGAAGTGGGAAAGGATGCCCAGCCTTGCAGCAGATGGGGAAACCTCACAGGCAGTCCAGCCGTTTCCTGACACGTGGAGCTGCAGCGGTCTCTCATCCCTGTGACACGTCTGCACTGCTACACTCATGATGAACAAAGCCCACTGCAAGTGTTTCTCCAGGGCCAGAGTGCCACTCCCTCACCTGCCTCAGCTGCATCACGGGAAAGGGCCGCAGGCCTAGGGAGAAGTAGAGCAGTAGGCTGGGTGCTTCTCCTAACTCCTCCAGCTGCCTGAAAGTCATCCACCTCCCTGCTTCTGCTCTGCCCTCTGTAAAATGCCAGGAAAGTGATTTTGGTTTGCATTTCCCAGTGCTGCGAGACGTACTGATCTGAAGTTCTACCCAAGAGCTAGATTTCACTATAGCTGCCTTTTCAGCTTAAACTGGGCACCTTCCAACCACAACCATCCAGCAGAGTTTTAAGCATACAAATCCTATGTACATTAAAAGCCCGTCGTTAAAGAGCTCAATCTTTTATCATAGTCTGAATAATTTTTACGGGTTAATATTTAAGCAGGTTTTGTATTCTCTTATTTAAAGAGCATTTCAAGCTTCTGTGATTGCTCGTGAAAGTAGATGTGTATTTTGGAAACTGTAATAGAAGACTGTGTTATAGCTTCTGTTAGTTGAGAACAGTCCATAAAACTTAACATTTGCATATTGTCATTGTTTTGACTGAAACTTCCTTTAAATGTGTTTCCTTTCCAGCAAGCATATGTGAAAGGTGACCTCTTATCCATTTACATACCTCCCTGGTGGTCATGTGACCCAGTTTTACGTCAAACTGTCAATTATGATAAGGGACACAATAAGAACAGCCTAAGTGTTGATAACCTGTTTCCTGGCTTTACTGAGAAGTTCTGTTTAGGAGTCCACTTGTGTTCTTCTTTCAGCCTTCTGCTGAAAGCAAAAGCAACATCCACCCAAAACATTTTGCAAACAGATACTCTGTGTTCAGTGGACATTTAAGTTTACAACTTCCATGATGAATAGAATGAAGAGAACTGCATTTTGAACTGTGTGATTCGGTAACTAAAGGATGCATCTGGTTAGAACAACTTCCTACCGAGGAGGCAGGGCAGCCTGGTGTGTAGGAAATAAAAAGCTAGCTACAATTTTCTGATTTTGTATTTTAGAGACCTGAAGTGTTTCTTATTACTACATACATGGCAAATGTCTCACTCATAAATGTCAAAGCTGTGTGAAAAACATGCATACCAAATGCCAAACCCGGAAAGTCCAAGCTCTAGTGAAAACCATGCCATTGTATTAATCAGGGCAAAGACTGGAAGACTTCACTAGCTCCTCAGAAATTGGGCCAGCATTAGTTAGCACAGTTTACTGCAACAGACAGGAAAGTTCTAGAGGTCATTGTCTTCACAGACCTCATTTATTTACATTTTCTAATCAAAACCATAATCACTCATACGTGGCTCCAAGGTGCATTAAAATTAAATAAATGGCCAAGAAAATCTGTCAGCTATTTCATTCATTCCAACATATATCTTATTATTTGTGAAACCATTAATCTGTATTTGCAATATATACAAATGTCTATCCATTCATCCATCCATCCATCCATCCATCCACCCATCCATCCACCACCTATCTTTTTATATTGTTTACACAGGTAAAGGGCATGACTAGTATTTCTGGCAGCATTCTAGTCTTACAACCAGAAACAACATCAACCTGTCTCTAAGTGTCTATCATTTCAAGGACGTAATAAATTCATGAAGTTGAGAACAGTAACACAAGGAGGCTACAGAAATGTCATCCCATAACCATGAGAATTCTGATCAGTAAGACTTTAATGCTGAACTAATGAACTCTCCATTACGATTATATAGCCAAAAGAATGGAGACACAACTAGAATCTGGCAAGGGACTGTGTCCACTTGTAGAAGATTGAATTTGACTGACTTTCCTCAATTTGTTGCTTTTTCCCCTAGTCTAGGCTTAGAAACCACAAATCTTCAGTAGACACAAATCAGAGAAAGAAGGGGGGAAAGGGTGCTCCCATATAATTGTAAAGGTTATCTAACCTTTCTTTTACGCACAATTCATTTAAGATGCTTCTCAGGACAGATGATAAGCACTGAGTATGAGATTCATAAAATAACACCACCAACCACCAATAGTAAAATTAAGAAAAACTCTCTCACTCGGGTACTAGCTCTTATCACTTGCCTTGTCCCTTTCTATGGTGCCCTCCCTGCAGTTACATTATCAATACTTAACAACTCTCAGAAGCTGATGCTGAATCAAGAAAAGCAAACCGAGTGGTCATTAACAATTTGTAATGGACAGTTGGGGGGGGCTGACATGACTTTTTTACAACAGAATTATGAAATACATGTGACTCTCTAGATGTCACTGAAGCATGACATCCGTTTTGTAACTATTCATGTCACAGTATAGAAATATCTAGCATTTGAAGACAGGTAACAGGAAGACCCACCAGCAATTGCAGCTGAAAGTCGACTGCATAGTTATAGTTCCTCATTAGAACTGTGTCTTCCTAACTATCAACGAAGCATGCTAAGTAATGCACATAACAGCACATTTTTCACAGTATCCAGATCAGTACAAGTAAATAAACTGCTCCCATTGGTGTTATTATGCACTGGCTTCCAAAGTTGTATTCAGCGCTTCCCATCTAAATGTGAGTATTCCAGGTAGGCTGTGCTATAAAGTGTTTACTGGAAGTTCTAGCAAGCTATCGCTTTGTCAAAAGACTTCATGTAAGTGCACGTTGCAAAATACATGTGTAACTTTCAAATTTATTGTGGTTACTGTAATTTAAACAAGCTACATAATGGTTCTTTTTAACAACAACAAAAAGTACTCAACAGTACATGCCAATATTTCTCATAACCAGAGAGAATAAATCTTCATAAAGACTCCTCCAATGAAGTAAAAAAACGTACCGGTGACAATATTTATTCTTGAGGGGTCAATGTGCATTACAGGGTATGGTGAATGTTTAAAAGACCTCTGTGGAACTAAAACCATTGACTTTCTAGTTTAGAATTTCTCTCCACTAATACAAAATGATTGATTGCCTTTATTTCATGTACCCCTTGATTTTTCTTTTCATTCATCACGGGCTGCTTTAAACCAAATGCATTTAAAATCTGCCACAAGAAGAGTGGTCTCTTTTAAATTGTTGTAAAGTAATGAAAGGACATAGTAAATCAATCTCGTTTCTGCCTTACCAAAGGATAACCTTTGCTCTATTAAAGTTGTTTAGACAATCTCAGTGCTCTACCTCACTTTCTGGGTAATAAACATATATGGCACTGTCATCTCCAAGTTGCCTTTAGTATTTAAGTGAGTGAAGGTACCTAATTCATTAGAAACTTATATATACGCATTTACATATTTGTATTTATCCATATGAAAAAGCTTTGTTGTTCAAGTATTCCGTTCTTTAAAATGGTTTCAGCAGTACATACCATTTCCTAATTTTGTACATATTTATATGTGTAAGCATCCCCACGCACACCCCCACAAAACACACTCAGGCAAGCATACACATATGTTCATTGCATAAGTTAGAAAAGAATGAAGAATTCACATAAAAGATGAAACCATGACACAATTTTTAAACTTACTATATGGCTCACTGGTCACCAATTGATGCTCCTGAATTAACATAACAAGACTATGAAGCAATATACTTTAGAAGGGAGAACGTTGGTTTCACCCAGTGGCACTGAAGAATTTTTCTGTTTATGAAGTGTATGTGAGAACGAATTTATTTTCCCCTTCCCCCTAAGCCATCTGGCCACATGTTTTACCATGAAAGGGAGTATAAGACACAGTGCATGTAAACACCGAAGACTGTGATGACCCTGAGACCCCCCCTCACTTTTATGTTCCTATGACACTGATGAAATCTCCAAATTTATTTCCTTCTACACAAAGCCAAAAATATACAGAAGATGCAGGAAATACGCAATGTATGATTTACATGTCATAAACTCAGCCAAGAGAAAATTTAGTATGCTGCCACTATGTTCTAACATGTGACAAGAAGTTTGCAACTCCTTCAACGAACTTGGAAGAAGGTGGAGTGGGCTTAAGCAGTAGCAAATTTGCAGAAAAAATTGCATCTAAAAACATGTAATGAAAAAAAATGATGGCACATCCTCAAATTAAATGGAAGTCAGAGACTTTTCAAAGGATACTATGTAAAACTTCACATGAAAAGAAGAGAGACGTTGTGTGTGTTTTAAAATACAATAAACATATGCCATATATCTTTTAAAAAGAACCACGTTATAGTAATTAAAACACATTTTATGACACAACAATCTTTGAGAGGTTAAAAAAAAAGCAATACACCAGGAAATTTACTGAAAAATGAATGGTTGGCAAAACCACTAATTGTCATTTGCTATTTTCATAAAAGTGTACAGATGTTTCCAGTTAGGCCTCACTGGTTAAAAAAAAAAAAGTTGGCAAAGCATCAACTATCTTGAATAAACGATCATCTTTATGATTTTCTCTGAACTCTGCATGTGGTGACCTTTAAAATGGACATACTGCCACCTTGCCCTGGGAGTGGGTAGGGATAGAGAGTTCCAGATGAAGCACACTTCAGCTATATCTCAGCAAACACAGAACAGGTAGGTTTTACTGAAAAATGAAACAGGCGTGTGTACCAACTGTTGACAGGAACCCAAGCCTGAGAAGAAAATACACTACAATAAAAACCAAGGACTATTTAACAGCCTCTTTCGTACTGCCATATTCAGGTTTTTTCCTTATAACATTTTACATGCTGTTAATTTCAAAGTCCTCTACTTTTAAGATCTAGGAGAAACACAAACACACATCATAAAATATGTTAAAGTTCTAAAGGGTCTGAATTTATTCTTGTTACTAGTAATGTAGCATTTCTGTATATGCATGGCCTTGCTACTGACTGCAGCTAATTTGTTTGTAAGCCATCATTAATCTCGACTGTATATTTTCACAGTTTGGGTAAACACTTCATTTGCATTAAATTTACAGCATTAATGAGATGTGAAATTTAAAATGCTACTTGAAACATAAATGATGTAAGAAACTAGAACAAAACTGGTTTTATCACATTTAAAATCAGCAGACCAATTTAAACCTATTAAACTAGAAATGATGATGTGTTGCATTGAGAATTTGGTTTTATAACTCATCTTCTAGAAGTAAAATGAAGAAATGTAAGCTTAAACATCTGGGGAAAAAAAACAAAATAGCTTGAAAATAATAAGTTGGACTTTGTGCTTTGGACATTTTGCTGATTTTTTAAATTGATTTTGAAATAAGTATTTGTTCCTTGTACACGTCGTTCTCTTTCCTAAAGTCCTATTAAAGATTACATGTATGAACTCTTCACAGATAAAACAATTGAAAGAAATATAATTAGAAGTTCCTTAAGATGGTACAAGTCTAAGAAATAAAGCATATGCTAAATTGATGTTCCTTAAAGGGTTCAGTTTTGTTTTGAATAAATTTCACTTTCAGATGACAAATACTGAAACCCTTAGGATCCCAGTCTAATCCAAGATCACAGTGGCAACATGTAGGAAGGTAATATCGCAAAATCTTCTCTATAGCATTACACCTATGTGAAACTTGCCCACCTGTTGCTGGTGTAGGAAGGATGGGTCTCTTGGGCTTAGTCCCACATATCGATTGGCTTGGGATGTGCCTGAGGCTGTGTAGGCTGATTAAGGAAGAACAAAACAGATTGATAAAAATACCAACCTATCATAACTATTACCCTGTGCAGGTACAGTACAAATATGAGAGATCCAGAGTTATGAATTTGCAAGATATAGGATGTGTCTGTGGTTTTCCTTTATTTTAACTTTAATAGAATACAAAAGAAAAATTGGACCAAATTTGGAAAGGCGTGTGTAAATTCCTATCAACTTCAATGGAAGCTGCATGTGTCAATCACACTGATGTCTCTTGTTAAATAAAAGCTCCCCTGATTAATGTATGCATTTGAAGGAATCACGAGCCTGATTCTTATTGTCATTACACCAATCTAAGGCACCAGTGAAATCACTGAGATTACAATGTTGAGAGAAAGTGCACACTTATTATTCTCACTGCTGTGAAGACCCGTCACAAAACTGTAAAAGAACAACAAAAATTGGAATCAAAATTTCAGTTTACTTATGTGGCATAAAATGAATCTTTACAGACCTTTGGAAACTGGAAGTAATCTGATTAGTATTTTAATGAGAAGGGAGCTAATTTTTACTGTGCAATACAATACTAAATATTCAACTCCCATATACATCAGGAAACAACATTTTCCCAGGGGACAATTTAAGGAAGTCTCTTGCTGTCTGCTACAGAAGATTAAAGAAATCCATTTCTGAGGAGAAAGGGCATGGTAGGTAATGCTGAGATTAGTTGCAAGATACGGATCCTTCACCTGTAGGTCACATCCCTGTCTGGTCTCTGTCAGTAATCCCTAAAACCCATTACCCTCTCATGGCTTTTGGTGGTACTTATGAAATGAGGTGTATGGTCTTACTCCCCTTCCCAGTGTGGAAATGTCATGCTGCAACTTGCAGCATCACAACCTGGAAACTTGCTGGCAGAAAGAGCAAAACTACTAAAATCGAACAGACATACACAAGGATGAGGAGCTAGATGGGAGCACTTACTGGATTGGCCTGTTAGTATTAGTCACATAGCAAGTACAAGTAAATGAAATCCATTAAATTAAAAAAAAAAAAAAAAAGGCTTTATACAGTAAACAGGCTTTACTGAAAAACTGTCATAAAAATTAATCAGTTATTAGAAGGAAATTATGGTGGAGGCCACAGGGTTCCCCAAATATTACCAAAGCCTGCTGTTCTTTCTCATTCAAAACAATTCTGCTATTGCACTTCAGAATGAAAAGCAGTGCTAATCATTTGCTGTTTTATTCTCATCAGACTGAATAATAATGATAACTTGTTGTCCAAGCATATGTTTTACATATATATATATTTTGAATCAATCAATCAATCAGTTATTGCAAATAAAAGTAAAACTATGCCTTAAAATATATTTAGTCTTGTTTTTCCCATTAAGTTAGTATTAGCACTCTGTGTGGCAGGTCTAATAAGACTGATAATACAGTTTATATGAATTCATATATTATTTCTATGTCAGCAGGACATGAGCACTCATTTTTTGCTATTTTCTTCATCAACAAGCTATGTTCTTTCGCTTTTTTGCTCTTACAGTTACCAATCCAGTTTCAAAAGGCTTTACTAAGCAGAAACACTACTGCATTTCTCTGAAAACCATAAAACTCTGAAAATGTAGGATTTATACGCTATTTCATATGCAGAACTCGCACATTCAGATAAAATTTGTACATAGGGGATCTTTTGTTATTATTTACATGCTGTAGTGACAGACATTGGATCTTTAGGCAAGAAGCTACTTGCACAGTGCTGTGGAAGCATGAGGAGGCCTTATTTCAAATATCTAAGCTGAGATGTTCTAAGGTTCTTGAGGAATCAGATACCCAAGTTCCAATGAATTGCACAAGAAACTGGGTGCCAACTTCATTTGAAAATACAGTCCACGTTTTTCCCTTAGCAGGAGAACAATGAACAGATTAGGTTTGCTTTCCTATAATGATGAATAGTATGGTCAGATTACCAAAAAACACACCAACATAGTTCTGACATTGTATTTGTTCTTTTTGCCATTTGTATTAGAAACCCTGACGTCATCTGAGACAGCTACTTAGGCCAGGCACGATCATGTCAAACAGGAAGAATGAAACCATGAATACTTGAAACTATACGTGAACTCAGTTTTCTCAGTTTTCTGTTCTGGACCAAAGGTTTAGTGCAACAGCTTCTGGTTTGCTGGTAAAACTAACTCTTCTTAAAAAGTGCAAGAACTGTGCCACAAACCACCAGGGAGGGTACAGATATAATCTACCACCTTTTAACAAAACTTCTACTGTACTAAAAGAAGAGCTGAAATCCTTCCATAAATCTATCTATATAATTATTTGTTTATACTTAAACAATAGTTTTTCCAAAAGTTATTACCATCCTTTTACAATGAAGGCATAACCAGTTTTCCTCCTTTACGTCTCTGCCACTCTTATGCAGTTGAGTCTCATCTCTGCTTCGCATTCTAATAAAAGGTTTAAAGTAGTATAACATCTAAGAAACATACAGTTTATGGTCTCTGTTAACAACAGACTAAAAGTTACGGACTGGATTCCCAGTTCAAATACTAAACAGGTCTAAAGCAAGTCATTTTAATGTAACAGACCCTAAAGATATTAATATTTTTAGAGTGGTAAGTTTTCTTCCAAAGGATATGTCTGGAAATGTCTCCTAAAGATCTTCACTATTCTGATAAATACTAGTAACACTGGCCATCTCAAGTCCAAATAAAAGTTCAAAGACAACAGAAATGCAGAAAGTAGTTAAAAAGCAACAGTCTGCATCACTGAGCATAAGATGTGTATTTGGAAGAGACAAAATTACCCTATACAATAGTAACACCTTTGCTCTTATTTCCAAAACCGCAATTCCATTGAAGATAATAGGATAAATAATATGGTCCTATAGTAATAAAGAGCTTAAAACATTAAATTTAGGATTTGGTTTTTGTTTGTTTGTTGTTAGGTTTTTTTATCAGTTGTTTTTGCTGAAAACGACACAACCTATGTCAACATGCAATTGTCATAGCTCGGATTCAGTATGTTTTGTAACAAGGCTTGATTTCTGTAGGAAAGCTCATTGAGGAGCAAATTATCCAATTTCTGGCTGGAATTCCGTCTGCGGGTCATTGTAAAACCTTGCTGTCTGGGTGTGCTTCTCAATGTCTTTACAATGTCCACCTTAGATGAACAACCACGTTCTCTTTTTCTTGAATAGTTGTCAAATATGCAGGCTTTTCCCTTTCATTTTGGTTGTCATGTCACAAACTTTGCTTCATGTAACATGATGCATTGGTTGAAATTTGGGGAGGAAAAGCTTTGCAGTCAGATCACGTTTGCTCTCCATGTAAAATGATGAGCATCCGCTTGGTCAAATAGTAGGAAAAGGCGCCTTTTTCTGGCCTCAATTTGAAATCATATTGGATCTTCGATGGACATTTTTTGTTTCCTAAAGAAATACTTACTGGTTGCTGTAGGTGAAGATGCCTCACCTTCAGTGGATGTAGTGATGGGTTTAGTATCTGTCATGGTCAGGGTCACAGGTCGCACCGCACTGTGATGGGGAGAGGGTGCCAAAACTGGAGTAAAATCGCCAGGCACTGTCCCTACTACTTGACCACTGCTGTTAGGCTACAAAACAAAACCAAAAGAATGCCTTGTGAAACATACACATTGTGTTTAAGGAACCTACCCGCCTATCTTAGGGTTTTCCAGAATGCCCATCACTGGAATAGCTGCGTGCTGGAATGTGCTGTTCTAACAAAGCTATGAGTATCTATGTGGTATTTTCAGCAGGCATATGCCTCCTCAGATAGGTAGTACATGCTTAAGTAGCAGTACCTTTTGGTAAGAATTCTTTCTTTCTGGATGTATCACGCATCAGATTGTTTCAAAATATATTTGCTCTTCATGCAGTGGCTGTGGACCACAGTAAATCCCAGGATAGCAGGATTGAACTGACCAGGCATTGGCCCTAACGTACAAAGTATTAAGAGCAAATGAATGATGCAAAACCTTTGTTTTCACATGCCATACCACTCTGGTTTGGAGCATAACCAAGACTTGACCACAGTTGTCCACAGAGGTTACACATACTGGAAGGCTAACTAATAATTCACATGTTTAGGAGTCAAGGAGAGGGTTAGGATGTGATGCACCATAATGCATATGTCATAACATCTGGCCAAAAGCTGACTACCAAACACACAGAAGTGTTTAATAATGGCAACTTTGCAACTCAAGAGCACAATAAATGAAATAAACTTCTTTCATAGATACAAGAGGCAGTCTGCCTGTGACCTAATGGTACAGGTCATCAAGGTAATATGCTATTTTCTGCATATAGGCACATCTGAATTTGTCAATGTTCAGCAGTAAATGTTTATCCAATGCATAAACACACCTTAGACATTTTGCATTACTGTAAATACTCCAACAGTAAATAACCTGTAGTAAAAATCAGCAAGTAGAACATAGGTTTTTTACAGTGGATGATAACTTTTGTCTGAAACTGATTGTGTGTTCTGTGAATCATAGGTATTTTAAAACACAGCCATACAAGTAAAAAATACTGAGATCTCATTAAGAGAAGGATTTGTCAAATCTGAGATAACTCAGAGTAAAGTGATGGACTGATAAAATACCCGATTCAACTGATATAAGGGAAGGTTAAAAGAGGTAATCATGACTGGTAATGAAATAATAACTGGGGTGAGACAATTACTGCAAGTACATGCACAGTATAAACACACAGAAGAAGAAGGAATTATTTGGAAAGTACAGGAAGTATAAACTTGGGGTAATGGAATGAAATCGAGAAGGAGGAAATTTAAAATTAATAGCAGGAGAAAATTCCTGGCACTATGATCTACTAGACTTGCAAATGCCCCCAGGGGAGAGTCTTGTTTTTTAGGACATCTAAAACTAAGCTAGAAGAAAATGCTACAAAATATAAGTGCAAATGGAGACCAATCTTGTATTCATAAGAACACTGAGCAGTTAGCAGACTATTTCCCTTTCTAAAATCACAAGCCTTACCATAAAAAATAACAGCAAAAACATACACTAATGAGAAGTGTCCAACAAACTACCCCTCTAAATGAAAAAAAGTCACCCCTTAAACATAACAGTAAGTTTGAGGGGTTGTTGGAGTCAGGGTGGGGACAGGAGAACCATGGAATCCCAAGATCTTGGGTGGTATTTACCACTTTTTCATTCATGTTCCATTGCGTAAGATGAGAAGTTACTACTATGAGTTCAGCAATGGGAATGTGTCAGCTATCAAAGTAGCATCAAAATACGAAAGTAGTATAGATTCAAAGGAATGACAATGCATTCACAAATAGCACAATTTTCCCCAATAACTAGCATGCTACATTAAGTTTTATTCCCTAGGTGAAACTTAACAGCTATATAGATCTCCCTTATTATGTGTACTTGAAATGAAAGTGAGGTGTGGCAGAACACACAGAAGACAATTTCTAGAGAATAATGTGGCCTAAAAGTTTACTGAGCATTGGTTCACATGCTTACATGATCGATGGGTCATAAGTGGGGAACGCACTCAGTAATTACAGAGGTCTTTCCTCAAGAATACAAATTACATCTTTATATTACAGTAAACGGTAATACATTAAGTATGTGTCAATAAGTCCACTTTCTTTGAGATCTAACTTAGCAGTAGTTTAGGGAATTTTATTCTGTGGGCTCTATTTTAAAGGCCTGCCAGCCTCTGAAACCAGACATCTTGGTGACTAGAAATCTGCCTCGACCTGCCTTAGAACAAAATGAAAATTTTAACTAACATAAATTCAGAAAATCTCTTAAGATTCTCTAAAATAAATTCCCCACACAAAAGACCCAAGATACTCCACAACTTAGAGGCAAGTATTCTCACTCGCTGATTGCAAGTTCTACACAGTTCAACTTGAGACATCTCGACGTTGCAATAAAACAGGCTCTGCTGGAGGTAAGGGAGCCATTACACAGTTTAAAGCATTTGTGGGGAAAACTGCTAGAAATTTAGGCAGGTCTTATGGTAAACCTTTATCTAAAACACCAAAGGTCTTGTCAGTAAGACCTGCTTGCTATGTTGGACAGGATTTTCAGTATGTTTCTGGGGAGCCTGTTGCAGAGGCAAGCCCCCTCTCCTGCCACAGCAGCCCAGCTCTCCACACAGTCTGATGGAGAAACTACCACCTCTCAGTTACCTCTGGTAACTCCTGGGTGGAGTCACTGACTTGTGACCACAGGGCTACCTCAGAAACCTGAGCTCACATGCTGTGCTAACAAATCACAAAAACAACTGAGAATCGCTGACCAAAACAACCAACTTTTAGTAAAAGCTAAGAAAGAAGATTCCAGGGAGTTCATAAATTAAAGCAGCCAGTATCATCAGCTTCCAAATGCAGCTCTGTCTCCAAAGCCAGGCTCAAATGAATTAGAAGGACACAGCTGGAGACCAGGATGATTTACAGCAATGTATCACCTTCTACTGTTCCCTACTGATCCCGATCAACAGGAATGCAATGGCTTACATGGACTCCAGCTTAGCCCTTGTGCGTATGGTCCACATGAGCAAACTGTTTCCTTGCTGAGTTATAAGACAAAGAATATACTTATAACCCATTCCCATGTAAACCATGTTTTTCCCTGTGCGATACATAACAGCAGTGCAGTGCATCACCCCATTTCATCCAAATTGAGGGTGAAACCCTGTACTTGTTGAAATCCATAGGGAATTTGCTAGTGATTTTGTGGATGTGGTTTGTGACCCACCCACCAAGTGTTTATACTTCTATTTCTTTTCTTTTCTTTTTTTTTTTCTTTTTTTTTGTGTCTTCTTAAATGGTAGCCGTTGTTCCATATCCATCCTACATGCAAAACTGAGTGCAGGCACAATACAATGAAACTGAGGTCTGCAACCTCTAGACAGAAAAAATGAAACGTTGGAAGTAAGGAAAGGGAAAACTCACTACTTCAGTAAGTTTAATTCTTATGGTTCCAACATTTCAAACTCTGACTGCAACTTAGATTTCAAATGCACTTATAACCTAGTGATCCACCTCTCAACAATTTTATTGCATTTTGTCACATTTCCCCAAGTATCTTCTGACTGCACTGTATGATTTATACTGGTTTTATTTTTCTAACCTCTAACATCTATTATTTTGCTTTTTCAAGTACTTTACCTCTGTTTCCATATTTGTAACATAACATTTGTTGTAAAAATTTTGCAGTAATGTCAAATACTGTGTATTGTAATAACTGTTCAGGTGTTACTGCTCGACAAAAAAGATAACACAAGAAGGGATAAGTACAGATATGACAGAGCTTGGTGTACCATGTCTAAGAACCTAACTTTTCCCCCATGCTGAAAGTTTCCTGTATTTAAATTTTTAACTAACTCCAACTGTAGGTAAGCACATACCTACTGAGATTTTTACACATGTAATTCTTCTTCAACAATCCCAACTGTCTTTCCGATGTGAACTAAGGTCCTCCCTTTGACACAGCTTGTCATGGGAAATGGTACATATGAAATTTTCTTAAAACGTCAGTGTTTTTCCTAGGTGTGCTACATTTGAAAAGAGAATTTATGAAAAGTGGTCTCATACCCTCCCAAATGCTCTTACATGAATGTCACTCATAAGAAACCTTCCTGAAACATCCATACTTGTCTTTCTTGTATGCAGTGAACAACAATGAAGCACTAAACAAAACTAATACTTAAGTTATCATAAATATTTTGCAGCTTAAGATCATAAAGCTGTCCCAAACAAACAGATCATGTAATGGGCTCAGAGTTATTGCTTAGGCCTGTCTTCAGACTGACGCTGACATGGACACATTGGTTTATGTGCAGTTAGCACTTCTATGGTGCTTTGCAAACACAAAACTAAAAGCTTTTTAAATACAGGTCTAGATTCTGGATCATGGTAGTTGATAGCAGTACAAGCTCAAGAATACTGGCTCTCAGATGTCTCAAGTCCTGTCCTGCTTTAAGTTTTCAGTGCAAAGAGGGAAACCCCTCAGAAATAGCCCTCTGAAGTTGTCGATTTGTGATCTTATTGAAAACTGGCTGCTAGAAAGAACTTTTGTGACCTATTCTCCTTTTAACTTTTGCAGTTATGTCAAAAGATATTTTAGCATAGAAACTATGTATCTACTGGACAGTATCCACTTGAACTACAAGCGTCAATATTTATAGCACATCATTTAATACAAATTCATTTTGTCCTTATTTAAAACAAGTTCTAGGTTCTAATTCCAGTTTTCCCTGAAGAGATTCTTACAGACAAAAGCATTACAGGTGAAAAATCAACTGTTACCATCACCTAGGGCATCAATATGTCTGTGTGATGGATTCACAAGCAGAGAGATGATGCCTGAGGCATACGCCTCAAGCAAATTGCATGGAGGCAGCTGTGTTAGATAAACAAGCTGTGCATTTGAAAATGGGAGAGGGAAAGAAGCAAATGCAATGAATGTCTGGCAAATTTAGCCCTAATTTATGCAGGTATACATTTTTCTGTTGTTGGATTGGAGGCTAATTCGATTTTCAGATCTGTGTTACATTTTCCACCTTGTTAATTCACACCATCTTGAATTGCCACAGATTAAGCCATTCA